AATTATGAAAGAATAAAGTTCTAAACAATTTGCCTTTAGTGTTGCTGCTGTACCGGCTACTCCATGGTAAAGATTTTTGATAATTTCTATGACGTTTTCGCTGAGGATGTTTTTAAGCAAGGCAGACAACAGTGCATCATGAAGCATTGTGTCTATTGGAGCATGAAAGTCTGTGTCAGAAATTCATTACTTAAATAAGAACAGTGTTTATAATAGCTAGTTAGACAATTAGGTTATATAATTCTATTATAAGTAATTTATCGATTTTTTAACCTTACTTTTAGGACTGCGACAACAGCTTTAACTTTGGTACACCAAAGTACTTCTGCTTTGTCGAAAATTTCGTTCCAAGTGTGTTTGAATGTGTTCCTGAAAACGCCACCTTATATCTAACGGTAATATTAAAGTAATAACTTAGTTTAAATGGTACGACTAAAACAAAGGTGAAATTAGGTGAATCAAACTCAAGACATCTTGTCTTGTTTACTTGAAAATGTCTACAACATAAATAGGCTTGAAAAGCTGGCCATTGTTCTAAATGGTTGTTGCCAGAAAGCATATTTTTCAACTAAAACTGAATATTTTAAAACACTTGAGAAATAAGCACAAAATTACTTCCGGTTTTACTAAGGCTAGAAATATTCAAACAAATAATTACTAGTAATATAAAAGTAATTTAACAAAAAGTTTTATTTTTAAATTTGATTAGCAGAGTCGGTGTGTTGTGGTGATGGGGGGGGGGGGGGGTTATGATATTATTTAATATAAAAAAACTACTAGGCTATACCCCATTGACCGTTATTGTGTATTTAGTCTTAGAAAAAAAAATGTGACTTTCTTTGTTTTACTTTCCCTGGCCACTCCGGTTGACCAAGGAGGTGTTGAGGGCGGTTAAAAAAATTAATAGAATAGTTCGATACGGCTTTTCAACGGCTTATATTTAATACAAAAAATGAAAATTAATGTAAACGATGGTTAATTTAAAAAAAATGTAACTATAATTTTATCGCTTGCAATATTTTTAAAGATTACATTTTTGTATGATTACATACACTTTTCAAGCCTATTTTATTATTTGGTATGTATCAGGATACACAGCCAGAATACTAACAAGAAAAAAACAATTAATACCATGAAGCCATCAACCTTTTTAAAGACAATCATTGTCATCTTTTTCATTTTTTTGCTCATAATACATGGGGGCGTCACAGGAAGCTTAATACTTGGACACTTTGTCTGAGATCATTTGTACTAAGAACATTTGTCATGGAACTATATATATATATATATATATATATACATATATATATATATATATATATATATATATATATATATATATATATATATATATATATATATATATATATATATATATATATAATGTATTACAGGGTGATTCTAATATCTTGTTGACCAACAACGGCCTACCTAGAGTAACGACTCTAGAAATTGAGCGACTTCCAGTCGATGCCTACGCCTGGAACAAGTCTGCTGATAGTCTGACGAGACTAACATTGAAAGAAGTGCAGCTAAAAAATCCCTCCGCCTCCTTTAAAATTTTATCTGCATTACACAGTCTTGAGATTATAAACACGAGTCTGAACGGATTAAAAAAAGACTCGTTCTATAGAATACAAGATTCTTTAGATTCCCTGAAACTAAGTCAGTTTGATTTTAAAGACTGGCCGATTCATTTCGATGAGTTCACGAAACTTTACGACTTAACCATTGATGACTGTGATATGAGCTCCTTGACTGATTATTCCTTTCCAGCATCATTAAAAAATTTAACAATTAAAAATTTAAAAGTATCTATTAATTGCGATGGGCCACATGTGGGTGGCTACACCAAATCTTCACACAGTCTAGAAACATTAATACTGGACAATATCGAGCTTAAAAATCCCACCGCATGTTTAAAAAAATTAAGTGCATTACGTACTCTTGAAATCACAAAACTAAGCGGTCTAAAAACAGATTCTTTCTCTACGATAAAAGACTCTTTGACTTCATTGAAAATAAGCGATATTAATTTCAAAGACTTTCCAATTCGCTTGGATCAGTTAAAGAAACTTCAGTATTTAAAAATTACAAGCAGCGATTTGAGTTCCTTGACCGATCTCACCTTGCCTGCTTCATTAAACTCATTGGAAATAAAAGATACGAATTTATCTAAAATACCGAAACAAATTTTGAATCTAACCAAAATTTCCGTTCTGAATTTTTTGGAAACGGAATTAAAAAAATCGAACATGTGCCCCGTCATTTAACACAGTTACATATAAATGGAAACAATATCTCGGAGGTAACAAGAGATAGCTTCCCCTTACATTCTCGACTCACAATCTTGATGATCAAGTTCAATCGTCATGACAATATGACAATCGACAGAAATGCTTTTGACAACACCCCTGGACTAAATTATATCTCTCTTTATAACTCGGCCTTTCATGCCTCTATTGAAACTTTCACAGCGTTGAAAAATTTAACACACCTCAGTCTCGGTTTAAAGTATACAGAATACTGCAAACGAGTCAATAAACAATTAAATTCACCCGTTTGCTTTGCGAATTAGACTGTAAAGACGTTAAAGAAATTTTTGGACGGAAAAAAACATTGCAATTTATAAAATAATCAACGCAATGTTGATGATTTGTATTTATAATTAAAAAAAAACCACAACACAAAAACAATAACAGCATTATAAGCTATAAAGCTGTCATTAGATATTAGATAAATTAAATTAAACACAATTTAAAAAAAAAAATTAAATTTATAGAATAGGAAAACCCTTTTTAGTTTAGTTATCTATTAAAAAGTATTTACTGTGTAGGGTGTATTTTTATTGAAAACATTTATGTGTATGATAAACATAAAACTTGATTTTATAACCGTTTTCTCTTTCTCCAATGAGTGGCTCCCCCATTTCAAATTGTTATTGTACAATTTTCATCAATCTGCTTTCTTATTTCTTGATTAAGTGGGTATCGGTTTAACATGTTTACTAAGCCTTTTTTGAGGGGTTATTTACCAGTTAATTTTATGTATACAAAATATGTAACTTTAATTTTTTTTATTACTTTGTGGATTGAGATTTTATTAAAAAAATAATTTTTGAAATAAAATTTTGTTCTCTATATGAGTGTCCTTATACTTGTATGTGGCAAACTAAAAGTGTATGTTAGATTGTGAATGCCGAGAAACTTTAAGGCGTGGGCTTTAGCAAACAATAACAATAACATCAGAGGTTTAAGCTTAAAGGCTTCTTGAGCTGGAAGTAATGTAATAACGCTCAACAGTCACACGATGTATGAGAAAATAATAATTTTGCTGGTAGGAATAGGTAAGGTCTAAGATAATCTAATACGATACACTTAAAGAACAAGAAGAACAGGGCCGCAACTCCATAATTCTGCAGTCTGTGTTTTATAGGGTTAGCGACCCTCAAAATGAGTACCTGATTAAGTTGATGTCCTGACTTTAAAGCTATAAATGTGAATCGAGGATCTCATTAAAGTCGGTCGAAAGATTGCGGCTTGATCCATGTATCAAAGTAATGCCGACAATATTTCCTATATTTCCACATCCACAACCTGTACCCCATGCGTACACAAGCGCTCAATCACGCATTTATTCACTTTCTCACACCCCACCCGCCATCCTACCCAAACACACGCCACCCACACGCAACTTACAACCCACCTCCAACCCCACCCACACCCCACCCTCTACCCACACTCCACCTCCACCTCCAGCAACACCCACACCCCACCCTCTACCCACAGTCCACCTCTTACCACACCACACACTCTACCCACACTCCACCTCCAACCACACCCACACCCCACCCTCTACCCACCCCCAACCACACCCACACCCACACCAACCATCCACCCACACCCCACCCTCTACCCACCTCCAACCACACCCACACCGCGCCCTCTACCCACCCCCAACCACACCCACACCCACACCAACCCTCTACCCACACCCCACCCTCTACCCACCTCCAACCACACCCACACCCCACCCTCTACCCACCCCCAACCACACCCACACCCACACCAACCCTCTACCCACACCCCACCCTCTACCCACCTCCAACCACACCCACACCCCACCCTCTACCCACCCCCAACCACACCCACACCCACACCAACCCTCTACCCACACCCCACCCTCTACCCACCTCCAACCACACCCACACCCTGCCCTCTACGCACACACCACCTCCAACCGCACCCCACCCCACCCTCTACCCAATGTCTCACAAACGTTATCAATGTGAGCAAAGAGCCATGGAGTGTATCATTCACTAGACCAAGAAACAAAGACAATAATAACAGCTGTCTCAATCTCTCAATCCTGTATAACAGAGGTGTGGCAATTTCTGTTACTGGTGCATTTTGATTTTCATAAATCAATAAATAATCAATTTACACACACACACACACATATATATATATATATATATATATATATATATATATATATATATATATATATATATATATATATATATATATATATATATATATATGGGTGACAAGACAAAAGATCTCATGAACAAATGATCTCACGGACAAGAGATACCAGGACAAAATATATCAAAGAAATGTTTTCGATAGACAGCGTAGGTGAGCTTGCCAAACATGAGACAATCCTACCACGTCATGTGGACGAGACTAGATCAAAGGGAATAAAATAACAATAAAGACGGACCTACGTATCAAGATGGCTGCCCGCGTTGATAGCAGCGACATGCATTGAGGGAAAAACATCCGCAATTCATGGACAATACAACTAGCATCTTAGGTCATTATGTTTTGTGAATCATATTCGTGGTCTAGTGTGTGTGTGTGAGTGTTTTGTGAATCATATTCATGGTTTTGTTGTGTGCCACTTCAGTGATCTAGTGTGCATGAGGTCACGGAAACAGGTGAACTCTGCTTCACCTGGCCCATGGATCATAATGTTCAAAAGGGTAGTTAACTTACCTTATAGAAGACCACTTGTTCACCAAGCATCAAATTTTTGCCAAATTCTTCTAAGTTGAAATCCACGATGAGAAGTCTGATCAAAATCTGTCCACAAAAACTCATTGATCTATTTACTATAAAATAGCATTAAATGTCACAGACCCCATCCACCAACCACACAAACACCCCACCCTCCACCCACACAAACACCCCACCCTCCACCCACACAAACACCTCACCCTCCACCCACACAAACACCCCACCCTCCACCCACACAAACACCCCACCCTCCACCCACCCACACACACACACCCAACCCTCCATCCACACAAACACCTCACCCTCCACCCACACAAATTACCCACCATCTTTTACACAAACACCCAACCCTCCACCCACACACACCCAACCCTCCACCCTCCACCCCCAAACACACGTTCATCGATTTCTCTAACGTTGTGTGAAGCTACTGTCCTTTGTTGCAAACCATTATCAAAGCCTCACAAAGAGAGAATAAAGTGTAGTGGGATATTTTAGTTACAAGAAAATAAACAAAAAGGATAATCAAGCCTGCTGTAAACTATCAATCCTGCATACCAGTGGCGTGACTAGGTTGTTTCAAAACATTTTTTTCATAGCTTTATTATGTTTTAAGTGCTATAATATAACATAATAAACGATTAGGCTTTTTTTTTATTAACATACATAAATAGTAAATACAGAATATATGTAAGCATTTATATACTTCTCGAATTATAACGATCGTGTGACCGAGCAACCGACCCACCGAGCAACCGACCGACCGACCGACCGACCGACCGACCGACCGACCGACCGACCGACCGACCGACCGACCGACCGACCGACCGACCGACCGACCGACCGACCGACCGACCGACCGACCGACCGACCGACCGACCGACCGACCGACCGACCGACCGACCGACCGACCGACCGACCGACCGACCGACCGACCGACCGACCGATAGCTTGGAGTGAGCACATGTGGATGCATGTACGGCATCACTCTCTATAGTTGTATCTATATTTAGAAACATGAAACTTTTTTTATTCAGGTCACCAGCAACCAGGTTATAACTCTAATTTCATTTGCTGCTTGTATTGATTAAGTGGGACGTACCCATTCAAACTAAATGTTTTGATTTTCAAGACAAAGAAATGAAGACAATAATGACGGCTGTCTTAATGGTATTACTAGAGTAACTGAAATCACATGTAGCATAGTAGCTGTGCTATTTTCTTTACCGATTCATGTTGTGAAAAATCCTTTTTTGATTAAGGTTACCTAATTCAAGTTGTATATGACAATGATCATCGTTAGCACACGTGATAATAATGGTATTACTTTTGGTTTGAAAGTATTGTATATTTACTATTTAAAATTAAAAATTATGTATTGTATATTTAAAATTAAAAATTAAAATTTTCAAATTTTGAAATTATATTTAGCTTAAAAAAAACGATCTTAGGTTTACTGATAATTTTTTAATTAACATTTTAACAAAATGAATTGGGTTCATTATTTGTTTTATCTAACGCTGAACCTTATTGAAGGTTTACGAAATTGAGATCCGCCTTTGTATAGCCCATACAGTCTGTTGTCCATACTTGTCACATTGAACCAGACACCCGGTCCTTTTGCTCGGAGAACTGTCTGTGGGACATTGAATTCTGGTTGATTTTAAAAAAAAAATGTGGTCAGCCATTGAAGTGACTGTTTTTTCCGTGGCCGCTTTGTTTGTGTCGGGATATAAATATGAACCCGAATGCCTTAAGGTGAGATTGTGTATGTCAGGATCAAATGTAAAATACATATTAAACAGATTTCTTAAATATATATATATATATATATATATATATATATATATATATATATATATATATATATATATATATATATATATATATATATATATATATATATACAGTGGCGTAGCGAGGTCAGGTGTCACCCGGTGCGGCACTTAATGGTGTCACCCCCCAGAGGCGTAGCTACCTTTCCCGGGGACAAACTTTCAAATTTTCGATTTGCACCCCCCTCAGACTTTCGATTTCCATCCCCCCCTCGAAATTTCGATTTGCACCCCCCCCCCTCAAGTTTTTCTCTATATATTTTGCTATTTTTTGCCTTGGTGTCACCCCCCCACCCCTGAATGGTGTCACCCGGTGCAGTCCGTCCCCCGCCCCCCCCCTCGCTTCGTCTCTGTATATATATATATATATATATATATATATATATATATATATATATATATATATATATATATATATATATATATATATATATATATATATAGGCATTATATACTAAAATAAATCTTAGAACTCTTTGGTAACGTAGGAGGAAAGGTTATCATAGTATGGTAGATGAAGTAGAGCGCATCTGTTTTTGTGATGTCAGACTATGAATTAAAAGTGTTGTCAGTCCTTTTTAAACCCGATGTTACTCTCCCTACCGTGAGTCTGAAACACAAAATTTGGGTAAACTCAGGGAAGCCCTGGAGATCTGAACTCGAGCTTTATCAGTTAGTAGTCGTGCGCTCTACTACCCGACCCTGCCCCAAAGGTTGTAATGTTTTGTATAATTTGCGTTTATAACATTTTTTGACACTATTTTTTTCAGGGATGCAATTGCAGTGTTATAACTTACAGCACAAATGAAAACAAAAACGGCACGTTAGACATGAAGGTGATAATAAAAGGAATAATTAGTTTTATAGTTGACAAATGATTGCTCTAGAAATGAGTATTTACACAGTTTTATTTTTGTGCGCTCACACTGGTTTATGAATACATGAGTACCTTTTCGATCAACTCTACAAAAATGATATACACATTTTCCATTAGACGTAACGCTATATTATTATAATCTGAATTCGATTAAACTCTTTATGTCGTTGATGCTTTAGTTTAAAATATCGGTTTATTATAATTTTAGAGCATCCTGCAAAAAAAAGCTATTCTATTGTGGTCGATAAAGCATACAGTTCGGCATTACATCGAATGACTAGACCATCTAGATAGTTGTAACATCTTTGATTCTTCTTTTGAAATTAAAGGGCAACATTAAGTAAATGTTGACATATACTAATCCTTACGTCATCGTTAGCAGGCACAAAATAGTATACGGTATGGATGATAAAAAAATTAAGTTGCAGAAATTACATGTTGTAAATTTATTGAGCGTGGTGACTGAAGTAGAACAAACATAATGGGTACAGTGAGTGTTTAATGTGTGTAATGTCTGTAAGTACTTTAATATATATATATATATATATATATATATATATATATATATATATATATATATATATATATATATATTACAGTGTATTGCTGGTATCTTGTTGCCTGACAATGGTGTGCCTAAAGTAACAGAGTTAATTATTAGAGGTGACGGACCTGAAGTGGCCGCCTACGCATGGAACAAGTCTGCTGACAGCCTTACCACCCTCACTCTGGACAATGTACGGTTAAGAGAACCCTGTACCTCACTGGAAATTTTAAACGCATTAAAAGTTCTTGAAATTGTTAACGTGAGTCTGGCATGTCCAAAAAAAGATTCTTACTCTCGAATAAAAATGTCCCTGACTACACTGAAAGTGAGCTATTTTGATCTTAACGGCTTGCCTATCAGTTTAGAAGAAATCACTCATCTTTCGGAATTAGAGATTACTAATAGTGCCATGCCAACGTTTTTCCTGCCAAAATCATTAAAATCGTTGACTGTTTCAAATTCGGGATTGTCTAAAGTACCAAAACAAATTTTATCCCTAACCGAAATTACAAAACTGAATCTGGCCCGTAACGGAATAAAGAAAATCGAAAACGTGCCGTCTCAAGTTAAATACTTAAACATAGCCTCCAATAACATCTCCAAGATTACAGAATCGAGTTTCCCCAAACACTCAAAGCTTTCTGGTTTGTTTCTTGCAAATAACAAATATGCGAATATGACAATATCGAGAAATGCTTTTGCTAACGTCCCAGAAGTATTAAGTATCCATCTTTCAGGAACAGCCTTTAATGCTCCGGTTGAGATTTTCACTGAAATGAAATGGTTGGGAAATCTTAGGCTTGATTCAAATTACAAAGATTATTGTGATCTCGTGAACGAAAAAACAAATCGTACAATTTGATGTGCGAAGTAGAAGAGAAACTTACTACTTGATTTTCCTTTTGAGTAAGTTTTTGTCCCTTTGTAGATAGGCGTAAAAGTGGTAGTTACAGTGTGATTGTCTGGCGTAGAAAATTATCTTTTTATTTGCATATAATTTGTTGTATTAAAAGAATGTTATTAATTTGAAAACGAAACGTAAACAAACCAACAATTTATACCCGCAGAACTGTTTGTTAATAAAAAAATACGTTCCTGTACTTCATGGTTACGCGTGACGAAATAGTAACACCAATTAAACACCTGTTTAAATTTCCTTACAAAACTCTAATTCGGCAAAACAATCACTTTTTTAAAAACTAATCTACATTCCATTTTAAATATATTCTTCTAAAGAGTTTTTTTAAAATGTACATACTAAAGCAAAATTTTTAAAACAATATATTTAATTTAGACTTTTTATTTATATTTAAATAGTGGTGTTATGGGATTGTTATTTTTTTTTTAAATATTTCTGTTTACGTTTCTCTAAGTTTTTATTACAGTACCATACTAACTTTTTGTATTAAATTCAATTAACTTGTATTGTACTCTTTAAGTATATAATAATTGGTATTTAAAAAAATAATTCCTAACGTAGGATTTGATTCGCATTGCGCCTAATTCCTAAAATTTTGTTGGCACTTAAAAGTGACTTAAGTTGTTTAAAAGCCATTTCCTTGCCTTCATCTATAAGACAGCTAATTACTGAATAATGAAGTCACCATCAGATAAGCTAATAGTTTATTGCGATGTTTATATTTTTACTTCAAAATAAATAAATAGAGATAATAGAAAATGTACCAAATGAAGTAGAAATTGTATCTTTATCCTAGAAAAATATCTCAGAATTTACAGCGTCGGCATTCCTCGCGACTATATATATTCACAAAGTATCTTTGCTGATACTTTGGGAACAGTGCCACAAGGAGAAACACCTTCAACT